AAAACTATAAAAATAGGATCAGATGATAGATCGTGGCCTCGTGTGATCCCACACTACTCCTAGGCTATCCTAGACTCAACACCATGCACGCCTTGAGTTACCATAGGCTACTGCACCAGGCGCCAAAAAATAATATAGCTTGCGGTGTCTAATTTACAAAGACTAGAAAACACCAGTTGACACATGGTGGTGCTGTTTGTTTACCTAAATATTATATTATGAGTGTGTGGCTGGAGGCTTAAGGGTAGCGCATCATTCTGACGGCGAACGAGATTATTTTGATTGAGAACTTAGCATAAAATAATGTTGATTTTCAATTTTTTAATATCGGTAGGAACAGCCTGGTAATTCGGTAGGCAGTAGAAAATTGAGAAAATCGGTAGCCTACCGCCTAAATCGGTAGGGTTGGCAGGTATGCATGAATACCACATAAAGTCTCACCATTCAATGAATCATGCTTCAAATAGTCATGTTTCCTTAGCAAGCATTTCATTCAGATGTGCCAAGGGGGTGATTTCACCAATCACAATGGAACCGGAGGAAAGTCCATATATGGGAAGAAATTCAATGATGAGAACTTTGTCCTGAAACACACAAAACCAGGCTTATTATCGATGGCAAACTCTGGACCTGGCACCAATGGGTCTCAGTTCTTTTTGACAACGGAAAAAACGGAATGGTAATAAAACATTTGAAATTAATCATCAACAACCTCACTCCAGATTATCAATTAGTTGTCATCATCCAAGATTCCCTTTTGCTACAGTCATACAAGTAGTTGTTCAATGTAATAATCATGATGTATGGTAAATTTTACTAATGTTTGAGTGTCTTCAGCTTTTGATATAATGTAATGATTTATTTAATATAATTTGTTTTGAGGTTTTAACTTTTTTTAAATTTCTAAAATAATAACTGGTCTTAATATTTTTTTTTTCACTCAAGTTCATGTTCACTCATTGTATATTATTATTAAATTATTAATATTATTATTATCTATGTTTAGGTTAGATGGAAAACATGTAGTTTTTGGTGAGGTAATTGAAGGAATGAGTGTCGTGAAGGCAATCGAGAAGGTGGGAACTCCATCAGGTAAACCTACAACCAAGGTGATCATCAGTAACTGTGGAGAACTGGTATGAAGATAATAAAACATACAGGTGCAAAAAACACAGTGGGATTAATGAACAAGACGACTGATAAAGTTGGTGCCAAGATAGAGAATGATCCATGTAGAGTAGTTACCGCTGTTAGCTACAACGTGTTCATGCTGCTAAATGGTTACTAATCAGACAGTGTTTATTTCGATGATCAGGAATTACAAGTTCATTAGAATTATTAATTGCATTTAATGTGTTTGCCCTACACGTCAGGTAGGGTAAACCAATCATTTCTATTACTAATAAATAAGCTAAATAAGCTGTTTGTGTGTGGCTTTATGTTTTTCACCTACTATAGCCAGGCACTCACTGAGCCCGACGGTCGTCAGCCCACGCGATTCTATTTAGAACACAACAGCATGACAAGAGCACAAGGATCGTTTTTAATGACGATCTGTTCAAACTGCCACCGATAATCAGCAGACGGCGTTGGGTCGTCTAGCACTCACAGATAGCAAAGTTTGGGTCGTCAGACAACGGCCGTACGACTGTCATACGATGCAGTGAGTGCCTGGCTTGAGAGAACGATTCATGTACAGGTCGATTGAGTGCTGTATGTCGTTTACTGCTGTTTTCATCGAATCCATACGTAATGGTATGAGAATCGGTTAAAACAGGACCCAGTGAGAATGCTTTTACCATGACCCCTTCAGCTGCTATGTAATTACTAAAGAGACAGTTTCTAATGAGTTAGAGTTTAAATAAGCTCTTTGTGTGTGGATTAGCAATGGAAATTGGAGGTAATACTGACGTCTTATTAATCCACAGTAGGGAGAAAGTTGATATTAGTTTATCTTGAATTTCTCTAATGGTAAATATATAAGGATTTTCTACTTCCATTAGCTAAATACTACGTTAAGTGTATTTTTATTCTCGTACAACAGCAAGTGACTTGCAATTTACTAACTGAGGCTTAGGGAATAGAGATTTTAGCCATGAGAAAATAAATATTCTTAATGTGCTATTAATCTAATGATTTACTCAGTCTCGCATTGCAAAATGCGATGCGTTTCAAACTATTTATTTGCTACTAATTATTTGCCTAGAATTACCGACTCTGTCAAAAACTAAGAGGCTTGGTACACAAAAAGACCCGAAAATTGTTTTAAAAACAGTCAAATTCAAGTTATTATTCAATGTTTTGGACCAAAAATAGCGCAATATGCTTGTTTACATCGAGTGCACGCATACAATGCTGTTCATGCAGCTGTTTTTAATATGAGTCGGGCTTCTTTTCTGTGTTTACCTCATATTTCGCTACTCCATCCATTCTGCTTCTCCTGTAAGTTGCTTTCGCTTAAGCCTGTTTTCCACTAGACAAATTTATTCGTGCGAATCAAAATCGTCGGCTCATGTGCATTCACATTTCTATCAGAGTTTTTGAGAAGCGAAAAAATGTGCAATCAATCAGAGCTCCAGAAGCGAACCGACGCTTTGGATCGTCTAGTGGAAACAGGCCTACACACATGTATGTACATTGAGGAGTAATGTTGCCTAATGTCATGTATGTACCGTACTGTAGTAGCGCGGTAGATACGTCATGCAAGTGTAGATGTGTAGTATGCAAATTACGGTGTCTTCCTTTTTATCTCGGCGCTGCTACTCCCGCTGTTTGAAACCAGGCCGGATACGCGGGCCGGACATTGCTTAAGCGAATACTGGACAGTACGACAGTGGGAGAGTATATAGAGAGTATACTATGTCGGTATATTGGTAATCACGGCCAGGTCAATTTCTGCACGCGGTGGGTATAATATTTATTGATGGGAAATTTAAAGTAAGGGAGTATATGGAGTATGTTTCATAGTTTAGTGTTGAAAAATAAAGATGCCTGACTGTAATTTTCTTATTAAAAACTGTCATTTTTTTTCTTTAATAATCATTTATTATCACCGCCAAAAAAATAATATTTATTGATGGGAAATTTAAAGTAAGGGAGTATATGGAGTATGTTTCAATGTTTAGTGTTGAAAAATAAAGATGCATGACTGTAATTTTCTTACTAAAAAGTGTCATATTTTTCTTTAATAATCATTTATTATCACCGCCAAAAAAAATGCTATGCACAATTTTGGAATTGGTACACAAAACAGAAAGTGCATAGCACTTTTTGTTACACACAAAAAATGCCGGAAATCGAATGCTGTGTACTGTAATCCTTTAAATGAATTACTTATCATTTAATTGTGTAAAGAGTTATAGGAATTATTTATTTATTTTTAAAAGCTCTCATCTGACTTTCTAATGAGTTACTTTCTGCTTTAAATTCATTGACAGGAAGAATAATTAGACCATTCAACATTTCTATATCCAACATTAGATCGAGGTAAATTTGTTTAATATGAGAGAACTACCACCTGATTTAAACCTGTTTGCAAAATAATGTGATTTGATTTTATTTATTTATTTATTTTCCACATAATGAACAAAAAAAAAACATATACATGATCAAACATATTCTAAAAAACATATACATGATCAAACATATTCTAAAAATCTATGTGGATGGAGACCACAATAAGTTTAAGAAAAACTTTAAGATGTGGCCACCATTAAAATAAAAATAAAATACAAAAACTGAAAACATAAACAGGTAGTCTGGTTTCTATTTTAATACATAAGTTAGAAGGCTTAATTACCATACAACGAGATCAGATATCGTTTGATATTAAGTTTAAAAGAAGAAAAACTGGGTAAAGATTTTAAAAAGGGGTCAAGGGAATTCCATAACTTAGGTCCATTATAAAATACTGATTTTTTTCTAAGAGAAGATATACATTTTTCTGTTGTAATATTGTTTTTTTGAAATTTCAGACTGTTGGGTTGGGAATAATAGGGTAATATGGATTGGGAGTGTATTACTTATAAATCGATACATAAAATTATAGGTTTGTAGTTTGTTTAGATCAAATATATTAAGTGTATTATATTTATGAAATAAAGGTTTAGTGGGTGTAGTACGACTTGACCCTGAACAAATCCTGAAAGCACATTTTTGTAATTTAAAAATGCTATCAATACTAGTGGTCTCAAGACTTGTCCAGGGGCATAGGTAATAATAATAAATAATAGTTGGATTTGTAGAGCGCATCATGCGAAAAAGCCTCTGCGCTTGGTGATTGAGCTCTTTGATTTGGAGATTTTGAGAAAAAAGAAAGTTGAAGTTATTTTATGAAACTAAAAAAAACCTACTCCTTAAACTAAGGCATGGTTGGCCGTTGGCTCCGAGGAGTTCATCCGCCCTTTGTTCAGCTGTTTTTTTTCGTGCTGCTGGGTGTCCATCCACCCTCCCATTGGCGGCCGCTAAAGACCACCAGATGGGGTTGTCGGAATTAGTCGCCGACGACTCGACCGGATGCAGTTTATAACGATCAACTGTGGTGGCCCACGAGAGATTACAATAATTAATATAGGGTAGGACTGGTATTGTATAATGATAAAAGTATATGTGGGGGAAAATCATTTTTCAACTTTCATGACACCAATATTTCTAGAAATAATATTAACAATTTTGTTACGATGAGGTTGCCAGGAAAGCTTGGAATCTAATGTTACATCGAGAAATTTTGTTTCACTGACCTGGTTAATAATAATATTATCTATTTTTAAAACATGATTATGGTCTTGTTTTGTTTTGTGATTAAAAAGAATAAAATTAGTTTTATTAATGTTCAATGATAATTTATTTAATTTAAACCAGTTGGATAATTTGCTTAATTCAGTGTTAGTAATTTTAAAAAGTTCTGGTAAGTTTTTGTTTGAATAGAAAAGATTGGTGTCGTCAGCAAACAGAACAAAACCTAATAATGATGAACAATTTGGGAGATCATTAATATAAATTAAAAATAATAAAGGACCAAGTATTGACCCCTGTGGAACACCACAGTTGATTTTAGAAAGAGGAGAATTATAAGAGTCAACTGAAACAAATTGTTGTCGATTGCCAAGCTTCTAAATAGATTGAGAGCAAGGCCTCTGACACCATAACGTTCAAGTTTATTTAGTAAAATGCTATGATCAATAGTGTTAAAGGCCTTGCTCAGATCAAGAAAAATACCAGCTGTGAAATAATTATTACCAATAGCTTTGGTAATTTGGTCATATATATCAATAATAGCAAAATCAGTTGAAAAGAATTTTCTAAATCCATATTGGCGATTATGAATAATATTGTGCTTATCTAAAAACCCAAGCAATCTGTTGTAAATTAGGCGCTCAAGGATTTTGGAGAAACAAGGTAATAAAGAAATAGGTCTGTAATTAGTAAACAAATGAGGATCACCTTTTTTATAAATAGGAACTACCTTGGCAATTTTTAGGGCATCAGGGAATGTTCCCTTTCCAAAGCAAAGATTAAAGATATAACATAAAGGTTTTGAGGTTTGATTGGATATACGTTTGACAACATTGTTTGATATTTCATCATTTCCAGGACTCTTATTAATTTTTAATCTTTGGATAATTTCTATAATTTCGTATTCAGTAACTGGGTTTTTAAAAAAACGAATCAAGAAGAGATGGGTTAAGAAAGCACGAGAAATGTTGATTAGTTTGAATATTAATTTTTGCTGCAATATCTGGTCCGATGTTTACAAAATAGTCATTTAGTTTTTTAGCAATAGTATGGGAGTCTGTAATTTTTGATCCATCATGTAGGAAGTATGACGGGGAACTTTTATGTTTGTTGTTACGACTAAGAACACTATTAATTATTTGCCAGGTTTTAAACATATTATTCTTGTATGAATTGAATTTATTATTATTATGTTTTTTACGAGAAGTTTTTAATATTTTGGTTAACCAGTTTCTATAAGTTATATACTTATCTTTGTCAGATTCCCTTTTTGTTTTAATATATCTTTGTATAACTTGTTTCTTGTGTCTATAGATTTTATTATGCTATTAGTTATCCAAGGTTTTTTTTTCCATTCGAATATTTCTTTTCTTTCTAATTTTTTTAATGTGGGTGTCATATATTTCTAGAAACTTATTTGCAAATGAATTGTAAGCATCATTAGGATTATCGTTGTTGTAAACATCGGACCAGACAGTACAAGAAAGATTATTACTTAGAGAGGAAATTGTATAGTCATTTATTTTCCTAGACATAGAGTATTTTATATTATTATTAGATAGAGAATGAGATAAATTTGAATGAACAATAGAATAGATAGGAAAGTGATCAGATATGTCAGAGTGAAGAATGCCAGGAGATATTTTAGTTTGCATGTTGTTAGTAAATATATTATCGATAAGGGTGGCAGTTTTAGTTGTAATTCGAGTAGGTCTATGGATTAGGGGATATAAATTATAATTAAACATATTACCAAGAAACTCAGAGGATTGCTTATGTGTACTGTACTTAAGTAAGTCAATGTTAAAGTCTCCGGCTATATAGGTTATTTTATTTTCATTATTTATTACATCTAGAAGAAATGATATATCAGAATTAAAAGTAAGCAATGATAAGTCCGGTACTCTATAGACTGTTCCTAAAATAATATTCTTAGGTTCAGCCTTTATTTCAATAAAAATAGATTCAGCAGTTGTAGAGATTAAATTAGAAAGATCATTACGAACTATGTATTGTAAATTCTGGTCCAGATATATGGCAACACCACCTCCCGTTCTATTGGTTCTAGAAGAATGCAAGAGCGAATAACCTGGTATGTCGTAAAAAGAAAAAACAGTTTTATTTTTGTTAAAAAAGGTTTCAGAGAAACATAAAGCAGAGAAATTATGATCCAGCGTACTTAGGAAGTATGTTATTTCATTATAATGATTAACCAAACTTCGAGAATTAATATGAAAAATACTAATAGAAGAAGCAAATATTGTTAAATTTAGAATTAAAAGTATCTATAAGATCAAAAGTACATTCATCATTATTTTCGGGATACATAGGATTAGGGTTAACTGCATTATTCATTGAAACATCGAAAGGGTCTAAAATTAAAGATTGTAAATGTTCAAAAAATTAACTTTATGATTGCAGAAGAAATATTTAAGTTCATGAATAAATTCATTGTCATCTAATATATTGTTGAATGGAAATAAAATAGCTGTACAGTTATAGCAAATCCAATTACGATCATTATTAAGCACTGCATGTGGACAGTATTAGAACAATTTATACAAGTTATTGCAAATTCATTTGTGGGTTTGGAACACAAAAAACAATTCATTTAATATTTTTGAGTAAATAAATTACCAGACTACCAGAGATAAAAAAAATGCAATGAATAGTATAGAAACAATAATGGGTAATTTCAAAAATAAATTTAAATAGTAATGGCGAAAACATTGGAACGGTATCGTCTGCAAGTTGGTTTGGTTTACATTGCTTTACAAGTATTTACATAAGTGAGTGTCATTAACCAGTTCAAGCTTTCAGCTCCTGTTGGTATTGAGATATATCCAGCTGTGTGCAGATAACAATTTTCTTCAAGGCGTTTGTGAGTACACAATTGGAATGTAGGTAAGAATGGCCCCGGAAAAAATGGCCCCAGAAAAAATGGCCCCGGAAAAAATGGCCCCGGAAAAAATGGCCCCATATGACAGGTAGGTAAAAATGGCCCCAATGAAAAATTCAGTAATAAAAATGATATATATTTTTTTTAATTTTCAAATATTTGAATACTGTATAAGCAAGAATTGAATCAAGAAATAAAAAATGGCCCTCAATTATAAAATTCAAGAAAAAAAAAATAAATAAATGTTGTAAAATATCTTGTAGCAAAAATTTAATTAATAAAGCAACATAAAGAATATGCATATTTGAGAACTAAAATAAATTAGTTTTTAGCTCCTATGAGTATCTCTGGGAGTAGGTCTAAGTATT